CATAGAGGAGTGGTCTCAGGTGGCCAGAGTAGGACTACAAGTCTGTCTTTGACTATATAAAGAGAGACCAGTGAGAAAATAATAATATAAATATTCTGTGTTTCTGCACTAAATTCTACATTCTTTATACAGTTTCAGTTTAGCAAAATAAAATGGTGAATGAATATTTCCTGAGTACTCACATGAGTAACAATACTCAGAAATTGTTAGTAGTACCAATATGAGTACTCATGGACGAGTTATGAGTAAAGGCGTACTCATCGTATGAGTACTTTCACTAGGGAAGTACTCACTGTAAACTTATTTTGCATTGCACCAACTTCGCGAACTAAAATTACACTAATTAGAGAAGACCCACAAAAAACCCCAAAAAGCAAAAGTTAGCTAAAAGCAGCAAATATGAACTTCGAAAGTCTGAAATATCAATAGTATTTACTTTCTCGAACAACATAATTGCGTTCGTATATTTTTATCTTGCTGAATGAAGTAGAAAGATGAATTGATTTATGTTGATGATCTAAACCGCATACATGACGAGCAACATGCCAGTGCATTGGAAATGAAGCCAAGAATTAACATAGCCATTGTGAATTTATACAATGTTTCATTACAATATCTCGAATTTGCCATCCACCAACTATTTCCCTCGTAAATATTATAGATTATTTTTTGATTATATTGTACTTTTGACTTAACACTGAATAACCATACAGAACCAATAATTAACCAGATAAAAATAAATAGGCTTAACGTTTGAGATATTAAATGTTGGATATATCTGATGATGTTGCTTGCCAACACAGTAAAAAACATTGATATACCTAATACAATATGAATTAATGCAATACTTCCATGCACAATCAAATACAATGGTATTTTATGTTCAATTGGGCATTCATCACGATATTTTATGCCCAGAGCTAACATTGTACACGGCAATGCTGATACAATGCCCAAAATAACAAGAACACAAATCGAAGAAAGTGTTGCTAGGCCACATATTGTAAATTTACGACTATCAGGTTTTACTGTTCGTCTAGTTCGATGTGTTGCCACTGGACGATTACCAATAGATGAAGAAATATCACCTAGTTCGGTTAAATGGATTTGTTCTGATCTGCGATTCTGTTGTAGTTTAGCAGACATTTTCTTCTTTTACTTATGCGAGTTTGGTGATGAATAAAGAAAGAAAAGTAAATACAACGTCGTTTTTGTACATACATAAATAACTCCATCACTATACAAATAAAATATATTACATCAAGCAGAATTATGCAAGAATATTTTCACACCTGTCACACATTTTGCAGTATTTTGCGAAATGCCATCAACAAGTATCATCAAAATATCCATGGTTTATTCATCAGATAAAAGCAAGGTCGAAAACCTACAGAAAATGTAACTTTTATAAGCATAAAACATAAGGCGCGCGTAATTCAAAGTTACCACGCATTTTTATTTTTAATTCAAATAGATATATTCTGATAGAGCAAAGTGTGCTGATCACGAATATCGCCGTCCGAGTTTAAAAAATATCATCTTCAGGG